GTATTTTAGCCTTCTCAAAATATAAATCTTCTAATCATTTTATCTGGAATCTATATGTGTGTGTTGGGGTGTGTCTTTACCAATCAGCCATAAAGTTCTAACTCTGCTTGTGCCTATATGTTCTGCTCATGCATAGTTCAAAGGACAAACAGAGGTCAGGGCTTAGGGATTTTAGGGTCTTTCCTGAGCATCTGTCTAGCCCAGTGCATCCCCATTTTCTTCTAGATTCTTAGGACTACTATCACAATCCTAATTCTCAGTGTGTTACTTCCTAGTATTTCCTGCTAGCGATTTTCAGCATGACTGTCTTTGACCCCACTGATAGTCTGCCCCTGGTGAACTGGGTAGTTTATTTTCATTTAAATGCTTTGATAAGCATATTGATTTAAGATTTTCTTGCTTTTTATAAAGTAATTCTGCTGTTTCCCTCAGAGCTTAGCTTTCACTAAGTCTTATAAATTTTGTTATGTTTTGTCTAAATTCCTATTTATTTTAAAATCTTTTCTGACACTATTTGTAATTTTTTTCTTCATTAGTTATTTAGGAGTGTGTCATTTAATGTTCACATGTTTAGATTGCCCAAATTTCTTTTTTTTGTCTCTAATTTTCTCTTTGTGGTTAGAAGACAGTCACTGTATCATTTCAATTTTTCAATTTTGTTGATGTTTGTTTTATAATGCAGTATACTGTCTTGAAGTATTGAAATTCGAGTATGAATTAACACTAAGTCAAAGGTATGCCAAATTGCAGGGTTTTTATTGCTGGCGACCACAGAGGACTCACGTCTCTCCAATTTGTGGCCCCGAGCTCAGGGAGAGAGGGGTTTTTAAGCTGAAAAACCACATCCTGGTTTTAGGACCGAGAGGGTGAGGGGTGGGGGTGGGGCTGAAGGGATTCAGACATTCCAAGGGCCAGGGGATTCTGTAAATCACCTCCTGGGCAGAGGTGAGGGTAGGGGTCCCCGGACATTCTAAGGGCTAGGGGACTTTTGTCATTCCGATTGTTACTTAAGTGGTTTACAGAAGTCAAGATAAATGTTAGTTTACACATTGTCTGGGTAGTGATGGAAGTCACAGATCTTAGTTACTTATTACAAGTCGCAGGGGCCAAGACAGAATTAGCTTGGCCTGCTTATTCTGGTACTGATAAGAAAAGGTAAGCAGCTTTACATAGTGGGCATTTTTCAGAGCAAGCTAGCAGCTTTATTTACAGAAGCCAAACACAGCTTTATCTTATAAAATGGCGTTGCTCAGGTTCTGGATCTAGGCCAGCTATAGCACAATATCACAGTCTGCTCTAGAGAATGTTCTATGTGCAATCAGGAAGAATATATATTCTGATTTTGGGTGGAGAGTTCTGCATTTATCTGCTGGTTTTATTTGGCTTACAATGTTATTCATGTCTCCTATTTCCTTGTTTCTCTTCTTTCTGTTTCTTCTACCCAATAGCTTAAGTCGGGATGTAGAGCCTGCAACTATTATTGTTAAGTTACTCATTTCTTCCTTCATTTCTGTGCTCTTTTGTTACATTCATATATGTCAATAATTTATTTTCCTCATAAATTTACTCTTGTAATTATAATCTGTCTTCATCTGTAGTAATAGCATTTGTTGTCTTAAAGTATATCCTAATTTTTAATTTTAATTTAAAATTTTTGTGCTTTGCATAGTAGGTGTATTTCTTTATAAAGTATATGGAATATTTTGATACAGGCATACAATGTGTAACAATTACATGGTACTCATCACCTCAAGTGTTTATTTTTTGCATTTCAAATAACCCAATTATACTCTTTCTGTTATTTTTAAATGTACAGTTAAATTATTATTGACTATAATTGTGTTGTTGTGTTATCAAATACTAGAACTGATTCATTCTTTCTAACTACATTTTTATACCCATTAACTGTTCCTACTCCCCACACCCCACAACCATCTACTACCTTTCTCAGCTTCTGGAGACCATCATTCTACTCTCTATCTCCATACATTCTATTGTTTTAATTTTTAGCTTCAATAAGCGAGAACATGTGAAATTTGTCTTTCTATGCCTGGTTTATTTCATTTAATATAATGACCTTCAGTTTAACCCTCGTTGTTGCAAATGACAGAATCTCATTCATTTTTATGGCTGAATTATACCACATTGTGTATATGTACCACTTTTTCGTTTATTCATCTGTTGATAAACACTTACGTTACTTCCAAATCTTGGCTATTGTGAATAGTGCTGCAATAAACACAGGAGTGCAGCTATCACTTTGATATACAGATTTTTCTCTCTTTTGGATATATACCTAACAGTGAAATTGCTGGATTATATATTACCTCTATTTTTAGTTTTCTGAGGAGGCTTCAAGCTGTTCTCCTTAGTGGTTCTACCAATTTACTTTGCAACCAACAGTGTATGAGCCTTCCCTTTTCTCAACATGCCTGTCAGCATTTGTTATTGCTTTTCATATAAAAGCCATGTTAACTGAAATAATATCTTATTGTATTTTTGATTTGCATTTCTCTGATGATTGATGGTGTTGATCATCTTTTCATATACCTATTTGCCATTTGTATGTCTTCTTTTGAGAAATTTCTATTTAGATATTTTGCCTACTTTTAAAATAAGATTTAGATATTTTTCTATAAGTTATTTGAACTTCTTCTATATTTTGGTTATAAATCCGTTTTCAGGTAGTTTGAAAATACTTTCTTTCATTCTGTGGATTGTTTTTCCACTTTGCTGATTGTTTTCTCTGCTGTGTGAAATTTTTCTAACTCAGTGTGATCCCAATTTTCTATTTTCTTTTGTTGCCTCTGCTTCAGAGGCACTACTCAAAAAATATTTGCCTAATCCAAGGGTTTTTAGAGGTCTTCCAATGTTTTCTTTCAGAAGTTTTATAGTTTGCAGTCTTGCATTTAAATATTTAATCTATTTTGAGTTGATTTTTGCATGTGGCAAAAGATAGGGTCTAGTTTTATTCTTCTGCGTATGGATATCCAGTTTTACCAGCACTGTTTATTAAAGAGATTTTTTTTTCTTAATGTATTTTCTTGGTGCCTATGAAAAAAATGAGTTCACTGTAGATGTATGAATTTGTTTCTAGGTTCTCTACTCTGTTCCATTTGTCTGTGTGTATTTGTGTTTTATGCCAGTTCTATGTTGTTTTGGTTACTATAGATCTGTAGTATAAATTCATGTTAGATAATGGAATCCCTACAGTTTTATTCTTTTTGCTCAGGATAGCGTTGGTTATTCTAGGTCTTTTGTGATTCTGTATAAATTTAGGACTGTTTTGTAGAACTGTTCTTTCTATTTGTGTGAAGAATATCATTGGTATTTTTATAGAAATTGCGTTGAATTCATAGGTTGCTTTGTGTAGCATGGACACTTTAACAATTTTGATTTTTCCAATCCATAAGCACAGAGTATCTTGTGTGAGTGTATTTGTGTTTGTTGTCATAAATTTCTTTTATCAATGTTGCATACTTTTCATTGTAGAGATTTTTACTTCTTTGGTTCAGTTAATTCCTAGCTATTTAACCTATTTGTAGCTATTGTAAGTTGAATTACTTTCTTAGATTTTTTTTTTAGATTGTTTACTGTTGGCATATGGAAATGCTACCGAATTTTTTTTCAGAAAAGAATTTTTTAAAATTCAAGCAACTGCAAATAGAAAGCAAGAGGGGGATCCCCAGTCTGGGACAAATCCTAGCTACTGTCACAGAGAGGGGACCCAAAAGTGTTGCCAGCCTGTAGTAAAATGTCATGGTTTTAATAATGAACTGGTGAGGAGTGGGAGTATTATCTTCATAGGGACCAAAGGATCAGTTAGGGCCAGGTGTTGCATCTTCATAGTGCCAAGCCCCTATCAACCCTCACCTCGTTCTTTCATCATGCAGGCAGCCCTTAGTTTGAGCTGCTCTGCGCTGCTTATCTGCATGTGTTAAAAGGGGAGAAGGAATTGTTGGGCCTATTTCCAAGTACTCTTTGCAGTTTCAGGCATGCCCTCTGCAAGCTTCCTGCTTCCCTATCTTAGTGTGCCTAAGAAAGAAGAAAATAATGTGCTTATTAGGTCTCACTGTTTTTCCTGGGGCCCATTGCTTGTCTGTGAAGTCTGGTGATTATCTGGGAAATTCCCACTTGTGCCCAAGTTGCTTATCTGTGTTCCACAGCGGAATCTTCCAGGCTGCTCTCTGTTGGAAGAGAAGTGGTTTCGATGAACTGCATGTGGTTAGAAAGGAAGCAATTTCTGAGCTGCTTTTTGTTAGAAGGAAAGTTTTCTGCTGGGGAATCTCTTCACCCTTACGATCTACCTAAATATATTTTTCTACCTTCTGGAACAATGATCAATGATGTTTACAATGTTTTGTTGAATTTGGTTTGCTAACATTTTGTTAAGAATTTTTGCATTACTATTTATCAGAGATATTGGTCTGCATTTTTTTTGTTTGTTTGTTTGTTTGCTTGCTTTTGGATGTCTCCTTCGTTTCACCATCAAGGTAATATTAGGCTCATAGAATGAGTTTAGAAACATTTTCTCTTACCTTATCTTTTGGAATAGTTTAAGTAGGATTAGTATTCATTTTTTTTTAAGTATTTGGTAACATTTAGCAGTGAACCTATTGGGTACCAGGCTTTTCTTTGCTGATAGATTGTTATTATTGCTTGTGGAGGAAAAGTTAAATATTAAATTTGAACTCAATTGAACATGGACACAATCAATGGCCACTAAGCCTTGAAACAGGTTGTGTGAGTCCCTTGAGGCACTCATCAGCACTGCTTAAGAGAAATCTCTATTTCAATTGAATCCTATATGTTAGTTATTGAAAAACAATGGGCAATCGCAAAAACAACTTGACCTTTTTGTTTTCTTTGAGCCAGTCCCCTAGGGCCCATGACTAAGCCTCATGCCAAGGCCAAGCAACTTGATAAAAAAAGAGCCAGGGTCCCAGACCATGTCATGAGACCCCTCTTCATCTGTGCATGGAGGACTGGCAGACTCTGGAGCCCAGCTTGTTGCTTCCCAGTCTGGTTGTGAGTGCTCCACAGTCTAGTGAGTGTAGTGTCCAACTCTGAAGCCCAGGCTGTTGCTTCCTGGTCTGGTGATGAATCCTCCTCACTCTGACAATTTAATCAGCTGGCAGATCCACAGGCCAAAATTTCCAGTGTAACTGCAAGCTTGAATGGAGATGAATAGATTACAAAACATTCAAACCTTTCAATGAGAGGCATTGTAGTTGAATATACTGTCTGCTAGTAAGCAGTACCTGAGTGACCATGTCTGAGGCTGACAATGAATTCATCCACTGGGCAGCCACTGCTGCAACAGAAGCTATTCGTGGTCAATGCAGGCTATGTATTGAATTGTCTGAGGCCACAGGAAATGGACTACTTTGGAGAATCATCCCTGCCAACATTTCTGGATGTCTATGTCACTACCTGTGAGGCCACAACAACAGCACTTGCAATCCATCCTGGACTTCCTTTGACCAAACCAAGCAATCTATCATTGCCCATCTCAAACAAAAGGTGAACCCCACTCTCACCTTGTGTCAAAAACCTTGATATCCTGCCCAATATGCCTGGCATGGTGTATACTGAGAACCTGTTGTGTGGTAGCCAGATTTGATATAGCCCCCACTTTGTCTAAAGGTCTTAAACAACTCTTCATATGTTACTCTGGGGTTTCTTCTACCAGGAAATTGTCATTACATACTCCAAATCAACAACATTTTCCCCAAGAAAACACAATCTATTTCCTACTTTAATAACACATTAGTACCCTATAATTATGGTAACTCCATTGCTGTCCTCTGGGAGGGACCTCTGGGTATACAGATCCTGCCCCTGCATTGGATGGAGAGATGCATTTGGGTGGGGCCATTAATTTCATTCACCATCTGGGATAATATTTCCCTCCTCATTAATCTATATGCTTACATACGTCGCTGATTGCAAATGCACTGGACTCCCTGGCTATACTACCCTACTACAGTATTCTCCCCTGCCGCCAGTATAATCCTGCTTCATCAACAAATTAAAACATTAAGCTTACATGTAGAAAAAGCTTTTAATGATAGTAGCACTGCACTAACATTGTTATCAGATGAATTTGCTCAGCTGTGTACTGTTGTGCTGCTAAATTGAATGGCATTAGATATGCTTACCGCATTCCAAGGAGGGGTCTGTGTCTTGCTACATACTGAATATAACGTGTATATCCCTGACAATTCTCACAATATTACTCTCCTTGCAAAGTCACGGTGGATGTGGTTTTTATTAATTCTGTTTTTAATTCTGTACTATAACTATGTCTTCCTCTTGTACTTCTAAGTGTATTTTCCTACAATTGAGTATCAAATTGAAGCTGAATGTGAAGAAAAGTTGAATATTAAATTTGAATTCAACTGAACATGGACACAAACATCTCTACTTCAATCTATTCCTATACATTAGTTATTGAAAAACAATAGACAATCACAAAAACAAGTTGACATTTTTGCATCCCTTGAGCCCAGTTTTGAAGACTCCTTGTGATGGGCCTCATGCCAAGCAACTTGTTATAAAAAGAGCGAGGGTCCCAGACTGTGCCAAAGCTTCACGAGGCTTCTCCTTGTCTGTGCATCAACAAGTGGCTGACTCTGAAGCCCAGGCTGTTGCTTCCCAGTCTGGTGGTAAATTCTCCATAGTCTGGTGAGTGTAAAGATACATACATATATATATATTTTTTTTTCACATATCTTTTTCCTTCTCCCCTTCCCATTGCAATTTGCTTATTATATTAATTTGCTTATTATGTCATTTGCTTATTATATGATTTGTTTATTATATCTGTATTGCCACATACTTGGGATAAGGGCTGTTTACCCTTAAAAGTATTGCAAGTGCCTTTTCTTCTCCCCTAGCTCATTTCCCACATATAACGTGGCTTCAATGTCATTACTTGTTATTGGTCTGTTCTCATTTTGAATTTCTTCATGGTTCAATATTGGCAAGTTGTATGTGTCTAGAAATATATTTCTTCTAGGTTTTCTTTGTGTGTGTGTGTGTGTGTGTGTGTGTGTGTGCGCGCAATATGCTATCATTTGTATGAAAAATAAAATATATTTGTATTTATAGACACACACAAATATTTGCATATGCTGAAAATGTGATATTTGAGGTTTGGCTGTCAGATAAAATTTAGGATGCCCAGTTAAATTTTAATTTTAAATTAACAATGCAAAATTTTTATTATATCCCATACAGTGTTTGGGATGAACATTTATTTATTTTTATCTGAAATTTAAACTTAACTGGGAAACTTGTGTTGATATTTGCTAAATTTGGCAATCTTGCTTTGAGGTGATGAAGTTTAGTATTAACATATATAATCAGATATGCAGTTTAGTATTCTATTCTCAAAAATTTTTTTAAATTTATTTTATTGCATTTTAGGTTTTGGGGTACATGTGAAGAATATGCAAGATTGTTGCATAGCTACAAATGTGGCAGTGTGATTTGCTGCCTTCCATCCCATCACCTATATCTGGCATTTCTCCCTGTGCTCTCTCTCCCCAACTCCCCACCCCTCACTGACTCTCCTCTATTTCCCCCAAACAGACCCAAGTGTGTAGTGCTCCCCTCCCTGTGTCTGTGTGTTCTCATTGTTCAACACCCGCCTATAAGTGAGAACATGCGGTGTTTGATCTTCTGCTCTTCTGTCAGTTTGCTGAGAATGATGGTTTCCAGGTTCATCCATGTCCCTACAAAGGACACAAACTCATCGTTTTTGATGGCTG